CCTCTGCCAGCAGCAGCCAGGGCTCACAGGCGTGCAGGGCCTCCTGGAGGGATGTCCCTCCTCTGTGGTGGGTCCCCCATCGTTGTCAGACTCTCCAGCGATCCTATGGCACCAAGGCACCTCCAGGCTCTGAGCCCCAAACCCTGGTACAGATCCCTGAAAAGGTGGGAGGTGAGCTGGCAGCAGGCAGACCTGGCTGGCAGGGGCGGAGATCTACACTTCCCAGCGAGACCCCACGCTCCTCCAGGGTCTGAGGGGGTCCCGCTGTGTCCTCACAGGGAACCGTCTTCACACCTATTCCCGTGGGGCTGTGCTGTGCTCCTGCTGCTCCCAGCTGTACATGCATCCCTCCATCCCTGGAAAAGATAGCAGGGAACGAGTGTTAGGGCCCCTCCACGTGCTGGCCCCGGGACGGTGAGGACGACAGCCCCCCTCAGCTCCCATCACACCGCAGCATGAGCCGGGCTCCCGCCAGGTACCATCCCACCACCGGAGCACCCACCACCGTGTCCTGTGCGTGGCTGAATGCAGAACAGCTTTTTACTGATGATGAACACAGCCTAGGGTGTCCTGCACGGAAACATGGCGTGCTGCCCTTGCACAGGCACTCTCCATCCAAAACTCCTCGGCAAGCTCAAGCCCCGGGTCCTCCTGCAGAGAAAGCAGGAGCACAACCCAGGTGGAGACGGGCAGATCCACAAGTACCCCACAACACCATGAAGTCCCACTGGGGCCACGGCACCCCCAGCGCCAGGTTGTCCCCCAGCTGCAGCGCGGAGAGGGACCCACATGCTCTGGGGAGGTCCCAGCCTGGGGGGAGTTCTGCTAAACTATGGCCATGGGGTTTTACCAGTTACTGAGGAGGGGAGCGTGCAGCTTCCAGGGAGGAATAAATAAAAGCAAGCTCTCCGGAGAGGGCTGCGGGGTTTTTTCCTCACCGCTTGAGCAGCCGCCTGACGGGGTGTGAAGAGGCGCTCGGGCAGACCCCTGCCCACGGCTGCAGCCGGGGAGGGGGTAACGCAACTCGCAGGGTGCGGGGTACTGCCCTCCTCGGGTATGGGGGAGGTTAGGGCTGGCACTTGGGGCTTGGGCTGTCCCCGGCATGGCGGGGGAACGGGTAACTGGGTGTCATGAAGTCCCAGCAGCTTTCTAGACTGGCTCAGCTGCTCAGGGCCACAGCTCCTTCTCGCCATGCAGTGCTTGTGTAATTCATTTGTTAATCATCTCTGTGTACGGACCGCACTCCCGGGAAGCGAATAGGTCCCAGTGCACTCAGGAGTACTATCAAACTGCTTACACAGAGCAGAGGAGATAGAGAACGATCACAGTCAGATATGTCCATCACGCGCTGTGTGACAGCTAGCCCTACGTGCATAGCAGCTCCCTGGGAGGAAAGCGTTCAACCCCACGGACCCCCCTATAGATCACCCCATCTCGTCCTGTGGACCTCGGCCGCCACGGTTGCAAAAAATCCTCACCTCTCGCACAACCCATGCTTCGCCAGCCTTTCGCACAGGTAGCCCTCTGCACAGGTCAGTGGAAATGACGGCCCCAGAGAGAACATCTCTGGGGTGATGCAGCCAGGCTGCCGGGTCTGCGAGCAATCCTTACCCAGCCCACCGGGGCTAGGCTGAGCCTAGACCTGGATTTGGAGGGCTGCAAAGGTGCTGAGCTGAACCCTGCAAATGGATGCAGTTTGGCTGCCCAACCCTTGGGGCCAGGATGCATCTCTGCTTGCAGAAGGGTGACCAGGACCCAGGGAGAGCCCCGGGAGCTGTTGGGGGGACCCCGTGGCACTGCTGCTCCTCCCCATCGGCTGGCTTAACAAGAACACAGGCAAACCTGGGCTGTCTCATCTTTTAGGGAGAGAGGCAAAGGTGGAGGTTGAAGGGAAGAAGCCAAGCCTAAGGAACTGCAAAACCATTAAAGCCTGCCCTACTTTGCATGGGGAAGCATATTGCAGCTGCCTATATTTACGGGGCCTCATTTAAATAAAAGCTGGATTCTCTCCTGCTTCAGGGAAAGAAGAAGAACAAAGAAGAAAAAGTGGGAAGCCAGATGAGTCAGCTGGCTTGAAGCCAGTCATGAAGCCAGCCCCGACGTGTGCCTGAGTAGGTGGACACCAGGGATGCGGGTACCTGTGCCCTGGTTCCCAAAGGACGTGGCAGGCGAGGACGTGGTGCTCAGCAAATGCTAAAAACTGCTGCCCCAGCCGGGGTGCCCACGTTGCTCTTCTGAGTCCACCGCTAGACTTGTGCACAGCAGGGAAAACTGGCGTGTTAAAATAATGTCTCAAGCAGGAATTGCTCAGAAAGAAACCAAAAAGGTGGTGGTGGGGATTCATGAGTACCCTAAACGGTGCTTCCCAGGCAAAGCACTCACCGCAGCCCTGCTCTCACCGTCGTGGCTCTCTGCGACGTCTTGTAGCTGCCGTTTAGGGCTTCAATTTGTTCTTTCTTGAGGTTTCGGATAAAAATATACAGTCATTGCTGTAACTGCTTTTAAACTCATGCCAAGTTTTACAGGGGATTTATAGCCAAGGATGGATAATTCCAGATAAATTAGGTCTTTCAGGAGGGACTGGTGTTTTTTTTTCTTTCCCCCTTAAGTATTTATGCCTTCAAAAGACAGCGGTTATTTAAAGGGCAGTGGGTGCATCACAGCACGTTACCGTTAGGAAGCAAGTTGCTTGTAAATCATGCCCCCCTGCCCCTGTGCATACACGTGTGGTCTGGGAAGCCGGGGGAAGGCACGTACTCCCAGCCCAAGCTATCCTCATCCCCACATGAAAGCATACAGAAAAACCCTGCCCTGCCTCTCCGTGAATACCGAAGGCACCGGACGATACTAATTCATGGTGTTTACAACAGCACCAAACAAGTCTTTCACCACCAGTGCTGAGCTGATCGTTTTCAGCAAAAAATATGCTCCAACGGTGGATTCTTCCCCCCCGTCCGCTCCTGAACAAGCCGCGGCAGCCTGGGCTGGGTTTGATATCACGTTCATTTGTTATGGTGACCTTGTGGAGCAGAGGAAGGGGATCGCAGGGCTGAGCTGAATCACAGGGCTCGAGCACTGCTTTCTCTTGGGTTAAATCCTACGTTACCCAGGGTGAACACCTCTCTCGCCTTTTGCAAATAGTTTCCATGCATTTGCTGTAGTGCAAGCTCTTCTTCTTATTTTCCAGATGTGCAACAGCTGGTATTTTCCTCACCTCTTGCAGCTCTGGTGCTGTATGGAAATATGGAGATCTTTGCCTATCCGTGGAGCAGAGCTTGCCCGTTTGAGTAATGTGTGACCATCCTACCAGGGAGGGGGCACGTAAAACTCTGCTTGGAGGACTATTAAAAAAAGCAAGTAGTTTTTACACAACCATTATTCTGAGAAATCCTGATCCATAACTTTTAAATGACTGCATTTGACACTACATTCAGAAACCACTTGAGAAATGTGCTGAATAAACAAGAAAACGAGCATGTCAGATAGCCACAAGAGCATATCTGAGACAAATATTTGTTTAGACAAGTATTCACAAAATTTTTCTTCCTGCAGGAATTCTTGTAAATAAAAGGCAGCTCACCTGAACGTAATGAGCTCGGAGTGTTAGGGATGCCAGCGAGCCAGGCTGGCTGCTTCCTATGGGAAGGGATCTAGCAGCCTTTGCATCCCGCTCGGTGCCAGGGCTCCCATGAGCAGGTACTGCAGCGATGCTTCAGTCTTGGCAACCATGGGCCTCCTTACTGGGACAAAATTCAATCCATAATCACATATTCTCCTCTACCACTGTCCTATGCAAACGGCTCCATTGCTTGCACTGGAGTGAGCAAACGCACCCGATAACACCCACGGCAGCTTGTGATCGATCAGCTGGCGAGATGCAGCCCAAGGGCAGTGTCACACCGGTGAAGACTGGCAGCACGGCACGGGGATAGGCGGCAGCGGCGTGTCCCCTCTCCATCTCCAGGGCTTGCCTGGGGACATCCCCCCATTTATTTCCCAGCCCAGCCTGCCCCTTCCCAGCATCCCTGCAGGGTAAGAGAGGCTGCAGGGGGAAGAGG